GTGCTCCGTCCCGGCTTTGTAGGGATGCGAGGTCAATGGTCTAACGACTACGGCATGCACGACAATGAGTACCCCCCCCCCCCGTCTCCCCGCTACTTAAGCTCCGTCCTCTCGAGGACGCGTGATCGTTGGTCTAACCGCTGAGGCATGCAAAGCATTATAATAGTACGCCTCCCTCGGCCCCTATCTTCGCGGCGCCTCAAACATCAGCCAACTTCCGTTCATCCCCGGCGTCAATCTCTTGCATACTTCGAAGTATATTCATAAACAAACCATGAAGAAGCATTCGTTGACTTCCCGCTGCCCCCACAGGCACAGAAAACAAACGCACGCACGAAAGGGGGTCGGTACCTGAGTCCGGCTGCGAGACGAGCAGGTCCGCCACGTCAACCCCGAGCCTCTCCGCGTACGCCGGGTCGAGCGCATGCTCCGCGTCGATGAAGGCTGCCACTCCCCCCGTCTTCTGGATCTCGGCGAGAGCGTGCAGGGCTAGGGTGGTCTTGCCCGAGCTCTCCGGGCCGTAGATCTCCACCACGCGCCCCCTGGGGTAGCCGCCACCAAGGGCAATGTCCAAGGTCATAGACCCTGTGTTGGAAGGAGGAGAAGGGTGGCGGAGGGTGAATGGACAAGTTTCATCGCATTCGGCCGATTGTTCGGATTTTCTCTCGAACCGGTTTTCATCCACTACAGTAGTGCATGTGACAACTTCTCTCCGTGGGTGGCGTTTTGATCGAGACGCTTGCCAACAGCTGTTCAAACCTTTATGTCCAAGTCTGCCCGAGTGCAGCAACGCCTTGCCTCACATGTAGTTTATTTTTGTCCATCGGGAAACAACACTCCAGAGAGACAGACAGGCAGAAAAACAGATGCCAATAAGAAGAAACAAATTCGCGCCTTCTTCCCGCCTTGTGCCTTCGTATCGATTTTCAAATTTGAACTTCAACTAAAGAAGAGAAACTAAATATGGATTCATCGTTATTCTATTTTGGGCTCATTTCTTGAAAGAGATTGATTCGTTGATCATGAAACAAAAAAAACGCTTGCAGCTAGACAGCAGTCTGACACACCGCCGGCATTGCACAGCGCGTGTATCCGCGGACGTGTTTGACCTCAGCAGCGCGAACGGGGTTGAATACAAGGAAGGCTTGCCTTATGCGAAAGGACTGTCTACCTCTCGGGACAGAGCGGTACGGCAGTCAAGAACTTCATGGCAACCATGAACATATGAAGTTAGCTACGTTCAAACCGGTGGTTTTTGTAGAGGGCAACATCATCTGTTCGTTGGGGCATGTCTGTGGTCACCCGCCCGTATCTGCATGTGCTGCCTCATAAACAACACTTGAGCGACAGTCTCTCCCACATATGGGTTAGGTGCCTAATCACGTCGAATGCTCGCAATCCAAGAGCGTTGCAGCTTGCCAGCCAACTGTGTGTATGTGTACTCGTCTACTGGTTGGGAGTCCAAGCGGCGAGCCTTCACCTTGCGTCGGCCGTCTAAGCACTCGCCAGCACTTTGCCGAAATCAAACTGCCCACACCATGATGCTTGAAAGATATGCTTCTCACGTGCCTACCCCGTCATCTCAGTTGCACCTGCTGCACTCATGATACAACGCGTTCTTGCAACTCGAGGTGAATCCCGCGCTATCTGTTCACGACATAGTCTGCATCTCAGACTTTTCGTTGCAAGTGGAGTGGCCGTTTTCCACGGCTGCAACCAGCACCTGTTGACGAAGTCTCGATGTCCATGGAGGTGGTGTCGCCCATCTTGAGAATACTCCCCCTCCCATAGCAGCGCTCGATCTGGTGCAGCACCCCGTCCAGGGCCTGCCGCCTGGGGTCGATGGCCTCGTCCGCTGCGCCCTTCGCTCCCGCCTTGCCACCTCCAGCACCAGCAGCAGGCTCCTTCTTCATGGCCAAGCTTGCGCGATTCGTCTTCGAGTGACTTTTATCAGCTGACGTCGAGGATGCTGCAGCCACGGCCGACGGCCTCGACCACGAGGCAGGCACGGGAACGAAGGCCGCGGCATGAGAGGTAAGCCCGGCCACAGCGAGTATCGCCTGGAATTTCGTCCTCATGGCCCGATCTGATCTACGGCACACCAGACAGCCAAACAGATGGATGTGTCGAAAGGCAGCGCAGCACAGGACAGCGCGGATGTAAGAGCGGGGTAATACACCACGTGAAGGAGAGGGGTATAGCCGGGGCGACGTGGAATGAATTCTTACAAAGCTGCAGACAAAGGCAGTGCTGCGCGTGTCCATTACATAGGCAAATCAGGAAAGGAAGTGCCTGCTGGCTCTGCGTCGTGAACAGACTGTCCTCGGTCTGTGTCTCATACGGTGCTGTGGTTCATGGAGGACCTGTCCGAAGAGGTGGCGCTGGCGTCGACGGCGAGCCCGTCACCCATGCCCCCGCCTCCGGGGAGAGATCCCTCTGCAACCACCCCGAGACAATGCTTTCGCGCGGAATCCCTCGCCACCCTCACGGCGCCTCTTGATGCCGAGAGCACAGCCCGAGCCGCACGAACGAGGTGCAGCCGCCTTCCCCCCAACCGGGCCTATGCATCGACGACCGTCAACAGCTTGGGGCATGGAGACAATGAGGAGGAGAAGTTGCCGATTCCAGACAAGAGGCAGCTGGAGAGCTGGGCGAGGTATGGCTTCGTAGACGCGGAACTACTCTTGCTAGCGGCAGACCAACCCCAGGGCGGGCGGAAGGCAGCCGCCTTGTCGGAAGGCCTGGTGATCGTGGAGGAGGAGCAAGGCGGGGACGTGGGTCGGTCGTTAGTTAGAAACGGGGCGGCAGCAGAAGAGGCCGGCGATGGCTTGCGGCGGCAAAACGAGCGGCAGCAGCACGAGGAGGAGCAGGAGGTTCTGGGTGAGAGGAAGGAGAATCATCATCCTCCCGCAGCCCGGTCGCCGACAACGACACACGAAAGCACGCCCGCCACCGCCGACGGCGAGAGAAGAAGGCCAGAAGGGGGAGCCGAGAGAGATATCTCCCTGGCTGTCGGCTCCAGCACGCCCCTGACGGACACGATGACGCCGTCGTCTCAGGAGCGTCGCCGAGATAGCACCACCGCTTCAGCAGATGCAGCAGCCGGCATTGCCACGGCTGTCGGTACCAAAAGTAGCAGTAGTCAGACCACAGCCAAGACCAGCAGGACACCAGCTGGTGGTCTCGACTCGATGGCGGCCTCCCTACTGGCGTCACAGGAAGCAGCACGGGGAAAGGAGGAGGAGGAGGAGGAGAAGGAGGAGGAAACGAAAGAAGTCGAGCTGGCGGAGCTCACGCAGCAGGAGGAGCGGGAAGCCGACGTCGCCGCTGCCGCGACGGTAGCTCAACAAGAAGCAAATCAGGGCAGTAGGGCCGGCAGCAGTAGGCGGGCGGCCCAAACAAAGGCCGAGATAGAGAGGCACAAGCGCAATCGCGCGGAACGTCTTCGCGCCTACGGGTGTCAGAGGTGAGGCCTGGGGCTGCCAATTTGAGCAAGTGTGTGACGATTTTTGGTTTTAGCATCATTTTGCGTGTCGCGCCCTTGATTATTGAGAAGAAATTGCTTGTGTTGGCAGGAAGTATTCCGCATACAGAGTGCAGTCCATATTCATACTCATGCAGAACGCATTACCACATGTATCATGTAGTCTAGAAACAGAGAAAACGAGGGAGTCATCCTCACCACTGTAAGAATGAAACTCGAACTCCAGGCTAACTGAAGGTACTTGGTACATACCAGGACTCGACCGTAAGAACCTCCGGGTGTATATCTGTTTGAGTTGCACCGACCAGAAAGTGCTTCCTCCAAGTAAAGAATAATTATGGGTACTATGTGGTATAACCATGTATGTGTATGTGTATGTGTATGTACAGTACAAGTGTACACGCGTCGAAAAAGTTTTTAAAACCCGTTGTGTGTGTCTTGGTGTTGGTACGATATGCATCATACGCGAGCTTAATCCTGGATTTGACGTTGGGCCTCCATTAATCCCCCCCCCCCC